AATAGTAGTGTATAGAACACCAGATAGTAATTTAAACTTGTTCATTAACAAACTGCGTGATTTAGTCAGGCAATTATCGGATAAAAAAAAATGCGAAATTATTGTCTGTGGTGACTTTAATGTAGACTTTTTATGTGATCATACTAAAGAAACCAGTACGCTTTTAGATTTCTTTTTAGAATTTGACTTGAAACCAAAAATCAAGAAAATAACTCGAATCAGTCCACAGGGTGGAATCTATCTAGATAATATTTTCACCAATATAGAAAATGTTAAAACTTCTGAACATGATTGTTATCTTTCAGATCATAAGGCTGGAATTGCAAATATTCAGTTATGTAGATCCAGTTGTGATAAAAATAAAAAAAAACAATATTTAGAAATTTTAAATCGGGCAATAGGCAACAATTTTATGATAGTATGCAACAAGAAATGTGGAGCAACACCTTAAGTAAGAAAATAGAGAGTGGTGAACCTTTTAACGAAATATTTACTAGCTTTTATAACTCCCTCCTATATTATTTTGACGTATCTTTTCTTATAAGTAAGAAAAATATAACTTGTAATAAAACTCGATGGTACACACCAGACATTAAAAAACTACATTCACTGTTATGCGAAATGTCCAGCATTAATAGAGAAATTGACAACTCTGTATACAATAGCAGATAGAAAGCTAAAAAAAAAATTTTAAAGGGAAGTATCAAAATTTAAACGAAGTTATAACAATAAACGTTTACAAAATTCAGATAATAATGTAACCAGAGAATGCTGGAAGATAATCAATGAAACGCGAAGCGATAAAAATTCAAACTCATCTCTGTACTAAATCTACGTACTCATAACGGATTGTTAACTGATCCTAAAAAAATAGCTGATGAGTTTATTACACATTTCACAACAACTACTATAACAAGGGATAATGAATTTAAAACTTCAAAAATAGAACGTAATCCGCCATCATTCTTTCTTCAACCAACAACGAGATGTGAAATTGAAACATTATTAAGAAAGATAACTCGAAGTCCAGCAGCGGGAATAGATGAAATTAACAGGCGAGTTCTAAGATCAGTTAGTTCAATTCTAGCCGAACCACTATCACAACTAATAAATGAATCATTTGTTGAAAGTATTTTCCCCAGTGAGCTAAAGCATACAAAGTGTATTCCAGTTTATAAAAATAAAGGTCCAAAAAATGAAACATCTTCTTACAGGTCTATAACATTACAAAGTCAAGTTGCAAAGATTTTTGAGCTTTCATTCGCAGTAAGGTTGTGTAGCTACATAGAACATTATTGTATACTAAATAACTCCCAGCATGTATTTAGAAAAAGTAAATCGACAATATCAGCACTAAATGATTTTCCTTTATGATAACCTAGATAAGAAAAATGAAGTTGGTACAATATTTTTTGATTATAGTAGTGCTTTTGACACAGTTGACCACGAACTATTACTTCAAAAACTACAACTTTTGGGCATTAGAGGTGCAGCTTATAGATGGATACAATCCTATCTTTCAGGACGTAAGCAGACAGACAGTTGTCATATACATGTCTTATACATACCTGTATGTACAGAGGGCGTTTAATAACGACACTTGCCAGTTGGATCCATGCCATGCTTATCCGAAGATCAACGATGTTACAAAAATACGTCATTTTCAGCAATGACGAACTTTAAATCTGTATTAGTTAGGGTTTGTAGAAGCAACTGATGAAAAACGCAGAGAAGAGGTACTGGACACAGTCCCCTCAATAAATCTACGCTTACTATTTGCTGATCTAACATCCTATGAGCCCTTGAACACATTCTGCGTTCCTGCTTAACTGTTGTTGGGATCAAGAAAGAACATTCGAGTTTTTAAAATTTGGAGTGCAAGACAACCGGGATGCTTCTGTAAGTTCTGTACTGTTTTAATTAACTAATTAAAATAATATTAGCAAGGTAATAAATCTTTGAAACTATCAACTTATTATTGTGAAATGCTAGGTAGAGTTTAAGATAATCGTGCAGATGGTAGAATGCTAACCAAAATTTCTGTGTTTATTTCCACCTAAAATTTTATGACATTAGGTGAAAACTTTGAAATAAATTTTATTTTTTCGTGTTATAGCTATCAACATTAATATATTCATCCTAGTTAAAAAGTTGACGATGTTAACATAAAATTCTATGATGCTTACAGAGAATGTTCAAAGATAATTTAGAAAGAAACACATGTTTCCATCAGTTATGCATTGCATTTTTTATTTTCTGTCCATGTTTAAATAAATTAAATTGTACTGTGACTTTTTAACTAATCCCTAAGAAACATATTCTTACGTAAAACTTGCAAAAGGCTCTAAATAAGGATTCTTGAAGCACATAACGAATTAAAAAAAGAGCAATATAAAGACATCAAGCCAAGAAATATTGGAAAGTTTGTATGTTCGAAGTAAACAGTAAGAATGGAATCGGAAAATCAAATATTGGAGATTAGTGTATCTCAAATAGAATGAAAACAAGATTTTGAGGTTAAATGACAGGAATAGATTGCAATAAAAACTTAACACTCAGTTATTTGTGACAAGGGTCATTGCATTATTTCATAACGAATGGAGTGCTAAAATGAACAATTTTCTCGACCTGATTGGTGATAATTTGTCGATATTAAGTTTTGTTTTACTGAACTGAATGTTTAATAAAATAGAATCTAAAAGTCAATATAAACTATAAATAAATAAAATAGTAAAACAACCTAATATAAAATGCCAGTTGTAGAGATGGTAATTTATTTTATTGATTTGCTGATTAGTTGAACAAATTCGTGCAGATGGTTTTACTATTTTTATAGCTTTGATACTTGAATAATCAAATAACACTGTTTTAAATAGCTAGTTTAATTTTTATAACAAAAAACAAAAGTCGATGTAATGGAAAAGTTAAATGCAAGTCTAAAAATCATTATTATTAAACAAAATTAATTTTATTTCCGTGTATGTCATATTAAAAAGCAAGAAATAAAGTTAACTGACTACAAGATCTGAAAAATTTGCAGTAAGTTACAATGACGTCGGAAACCAAGTAACGTGGGGGTAAATATGATAAAATAGGCCGCGCGAAACTTTTAATGGCCTTAATTGCTGACAGCCTTGGAACGTTAGGGGTTCTGAGTTGAATTCTAGTTGAAGGTGACACATTTTTAAAGCTTAAAATAATTATTATATGTACATTTTACGCCGTTAACCCGTAGAAATTCTAACGATATTAATGGGAGCTTAAAAATTTGTACGAATCTTTAATTAATGAATTAATTTTTTTTTATAATTGTTGTATAAATCTTGACGTTAAGTGTGCAATCTCCTATCAGTTTCGACCTTTCTCTTGTTTGACATAGTCATGCTGGAACAAAATAAATTGTCCACTTCTATCTAATTCTGCAATGAATGAATAAATTTACATGAAATGTTTCATACGTGTTATGTCCGTTAAATTTGTTACATGTGTAGTTCTGTATTTAGGTTCCACCACTGAGGGTTGCGAAGAAAGATGCCACAAAATCCTGGGCGGATTAAAGACGCCCTGCTCTTAGTGCGTCAGTAAATTTGGCGAAATCTTGTGAGGATTTTGCCCAAGTAAAAAAAGAGTTGGCAAACCTTCAATTAATTTTTTCACAAAGGCAGTTGGAAGAGGAGTCTGAAAAGTTTGCTTACCAAAAATATGTCATTGAGGTGAAAAAGCAGATTTTGCAGGCACAGCTGCAAAAAGCCCAAGAAGCTGATTATTGGCGACACAAAAAGGAACCAACTTCAAAAAGAAGCTCTTCCTTAGATCTGTAGATCAAAAAGCATCAGCTTCGAAACGTTATGGATTTGTGAGCTAGATTTATAGGTACATTTTATAAGTATATGCATCATTATTGTAAGTAGTTCCACAAATACAAAAAATGTTTCGTGGCATTAATTTTATTTCCATTCTAGTTAGATTTGCGCAAAATATCCATCAAGAAATTTTTATTTTTCTGTAGTATAAGTTCTCTAAAGCCAAAGATCCTTCTTTACATTTCAGTTTAAAAACATTAATTATTTCCATGCTACCGATTTTATGAATTTTTAACAAGTTTCGCGCGTTTTCTGCTCCTGCGCACGTACTTGCTTTAAAAATGAGTAGCCATAAAATTGGAGAAGTTTGTTCACGCACACCTATCTCGAAAACAAAACTTATAAAGACGACCGGGAAATAGGTTTTATTACATCACGTATGTAAATGGAATGGCGCGAGCGAAGGTAAACCACTTATTCTGAAAGAATGTACGTGAGCAATATGATCGTTGACTTATCACGTTAAAAGCCAAGGCGTTTATCATTTTTAATGCGGATATTGACACAGGTTTTTTCAGGATTCTCAGACACCGTGAAATGACAATTTATATCAATATCGCTTAGTGTCTCCTGTGAAATCAATTTCTTGCAAGTAACGCACAAAAAGTAAAGATTACGGTTAGCGAAGGGTATCAGCCTGTGCAATCAAACGTTGTCCCTCTGATAAAAGATCCCAGCAAGGGTTGAAAAGGGTGAGAGGCACAGCTTGGATTAATACGGTAACTTGCTGTTTAATTGTCCGAGTTAAACAATAATGATGCAGATGGCGCTATCATAATGTCTTGCAGAGATTTTATATACGTACAAAGAGTTAAAAAGACATGATAAACGTGATCTCTTCTAATCGATAAAAAAGATTTTTATTTATTTATTTATTTATTTAAATATGAAATAGAGCAGAGACTGACGTTTGTTCTCGGATTTTAAGTTTAAAAATAGCCTATTCTAGTCTTTGGGAGGAAAAGTCAATGTTTAGGATAGAAAAAAAATGGCTTTAAGAGTTAACCTCTAAATTTTTGTCTTAGACATTGTTTAAATATACGCTAGTTTTTGATGTTCGCATCTGAGGGTATTTCAATGCATATCCACAACTAGGTACCTGTGCTAGATTATTGCATTTCCTATTTAACACTAATTATAAAGTATATTTGGACTATTTCTTATTTCCCAAAATGGTAATACATATTGCCAAGAAGGCCCATATGGTACTAAAAAGTAACTTGAAATTCATTAAGTCATCAAGACCTGTATTACCTTTCCCAGCTAAAAATAATTCACAAAATTCTTCACAGGTACCTTTAAATCCCTTTAGTAATTTACTATGGTGATAATAAGACATAAATACAAACGTCTCTTGGATCTCGTGCCACGTAAACAATCTAGGTCAAATGTATTAACTGATTGTTTTTTAGTTAAAACGGTTACCTTAGGTTTTTTTGTGCCTTCCTGCAACTGCTTTGGAAGTAAATCTAGAGGTAAGTGTGACTTAACTACTAGCGGACTCTTCAAACTTCATAGTATCCTACTGAGTCATGCAAGTACAGAGTAGGTTTATAATCTGGCTTTTTGCTAAACCATTCTCTATCATCGTACAGCATCGAAAATCTTTCCATGAAAAAATTATTATTATTATTATTATTATTATTAAGGAATCGATCGGGCAGAGGCTATGCCTGTTATGCCCGCGACAAACTGAGTAGTGGCTTTATCTTCAGTATAACTTATGGATTTTTTGTCGCACACTATGTATCATATTTCGATTTAAAACTCACAATAGATGAAGCTAGCACTATATCCTTGGGTAACGCGTTCAAACTGTCAAACACCCTATTCGTTAAAAATTTTTGGCGAGCTAAAGTGCAAAACTTCACTTTATATACGCAACTTTAGAGGCTGCCCTCTGGTGCGGTCTGAGGTATTGAGAGGGAAGAGATGCCTCACTGGAGAAAGACTATTACTCAAGGCCTGATAAGTAATGATTTGATCCCCTCGTTTGCGCCTCTCTGAAAGAGGGCAGAGATGCATTAGTCTAAGCCGTTCACAGTAAGGTGGCCGATTTATGCCGACGGAAATCTTGTTGCTCGACACTGAATGGATTCTAAGCACAAAATGTATTTTTGAAGTATGGGAGACCAGACACCATTAGCAAATTCTAGCAAAGTCTGCACATGTGTTTTGAAAAGTTTAGAAAAGACTAATGGATTAGCTTTGGAAAATGTTTTGCTCAGAAGAAAGAGCATTGTATTTGCTTTGCTCGCAATTCGCTAGACGTGCTCAGTCCATGACAGATTGGAGATGACAAAACACCCAAATCAACGTGCGAATCTGTACATGAAAGACGTAAGTTGTCAACGAAATGAACGTGTTTCGGGTTATTATTTCCAAGGTGCAGGACTATGCACTTGTCTAAATTCAAAGGTAATAACCAATCATGAGTCCAGTCATATATTGCTCGAAGATCTCGTTCTAAATCCCTATAATTCTTACTACTGCTGTAAAGCTTGATGTCATCTGCGAACATGGCGAAAGGCGAGGTTACGATGTTTTTGATATCGGCAGTATAAGCGACAAAGAGTAGCGGGGCAAGCACCGAGCCCTGGGGCACCCTACTCAAACATCGACAGATCTACTAAGTCCATCACCGACTTTGACTCGAAATGTTCTATCGCTCAGAAAAGAATCTATCCACCCAAGAAGGTTTCCTCGTATACCAAGATGTTACAATTTGTGAAGAAGCCTACGTTTCGGAACCTTGTCAAAAGCTTTTGAAAAATCGAGATATAAAATATCGACGGGGCGACCCAGATCGATATCCCTAGTCCAGTCTGACAAACAGCACAAAAGATAAGATTGGACAGATTTCCCAGATACGAAGCCATGCTGTTCAGGTGGAAATAGATTGTAATTTATAAAAGACTTGACTAAATGCTCATAGAATCTCTGCTATACGCTTCTCACAATCAAGTCTAGCCTCTCTGATGACAGTCGAAAGAGGGTTAGAAAAAGCCCTGTGAGCATTGTAACTCGTTTCGGTCCCTGTTCGTTTAAAAGCTAGCCACAGTGCTCTCTTTTCGTGTACTATGATGAAGATCTTTTAAACGTGGAACTAGTGGTGTCCTGTGTGACCGTATCATATAGTGTGCGACGAAATTCCGGATGGGATGGGACGGACGGTCCGGTGACGGTCCGGAATCTCGCCGATAACGTATGGGGTGGCGGCGTACTTGAGTGCCAAGCTTTGGGTCGACTAGTATCGCTGATATCAGAAACACGTCTGGTCGACCAAGCTTATGCGGCTACCTTCACGCCGCCGGGGGTGGCGCCTTCGGTCAGGAGCGGCGGTAGCTCGGGCGCCAGCTCCCTCTCCGGGGGAGGGAGCGCCGGGGTGCTCTAAAGCCGGAGACACGGAATTCAGGTGATGAGCCGCCGCGAAAACCCGAGAATAAATAAAATAAAACGGCAAGAGATATTTTACAATAAAATAGGGTTTATTCCCTGCCACCAGCTACACGTTCTAAGATAATAAATCTTACGGCTAATCAACTTAAATAACTACAGAACGGTTTTACAACAAAAAAAAAATTAAATGTCCGGCACGGTCGTTCCTCCTGGGCGGCGACTTCCTTCAAGCCGGGCTCCTCTTGGCTCTGGGGGCGGCGACCTTGAACCTGGAAATCGCGCGAAGACGGTACGGCGACCCGGGAGGGGAGCGCGGTGACGGTAACGACGCGTGCACGACGGTGTCGACTTTCGACGGTGACAAAAAAAACGCGGTGACGGTGACACGGTTTTTCGCTCGGGGGTGGCGATTCCAAAACCGGTACAAAACAGGCAGACGACCCAAAAAGGTACTTACGGTGGGTCGGAGGGTCGAACTGCTCACTTGGTCACACTTCTCCAAAAATACTCTTCACCAGGACAGCAGCCACAGCACTTCCGCACTCTCTGGAGTTGCAGGCAAGAGTCCTCTTCCGCCGCGGCGGCGCGGCGGTCGCCAATTTACCCCCGGCTCTCGCGGTACGCGGCACGGTTTCCGGCCCGCGAAAATTCGCTTCGTTACAAGTGTTGTTTTAAAGCAATCCCAATTGTTGCTTATCGACAAATCCGAAAGAAGACAATTTCAATCTAGCTTCCCTAAGTGCTTATTCAGGGCTTCAAAATCTATCATCTTCAGTTCAAGCGTGATAGTTCTCCTCCGACGTGTGTAACAAACCTGTAAATCCATCATTAGAACTAAATGATCCGATTTACCAATTGTCTATTTTTTTTTTGGTCTATTATTATAAAAAATATTAAAACTTTGTAATATCGGTCTCACTCAACGAAAGGACTGCGTCCATCTAAAGGCCTTTTTGCTCTTTCGAACTTTAGGTTATTAGTGATCATCCATACCATTTCTTGAATCGATGTTGTTCCTATTTTGCTATGTACTTATTCTGTCCAGAAAATATCATTAAAAATTCTTACCACTTTTGGGAAAACTGCATATCCTGTAACCCTCTTACAGGGTTTAAAAAAAATGTAACTGATTATATTATTAATGCATGAAGTGGGTTTTAACGCGAGCCCAATAAAACTGCGTTTACGAGTTTCAAGATAAATTCTGTTACTAACTAACAGAACTGTTCAAAGTACTCAAAAAAAGTACTTGAAGTACCAAGTACAAAGTACTACTTGAAATAGTGTTCAAGTAAAGTACCAAGTACTTACTTGCAGCAAGAGTATTTCAAGTATCAAGTGCTTTTCAGATGTACTTGAAGTACAAGCCAAGTACATTACTTCAAGTACTTACGAGTACTTGAGGTACTGGAGGTATACTTCAAGTACTTTCTAATTATTTGAAATACTGTAGAATTAGATAACTTTTCCTGTTTTTTTAAAAAAGCTTAATATATTTTAGAATTGAATTCTTTAATACTCAGAATTTAGGTATACAATAATACATATTTCGCCACATAAAAAATTGCATAAGCATCAACTTAAATACAGAATGGTAGCTCACTTATTAATAATACTAATATCCGTTTGCAAAACTCCCGCACTGTCAGTGTCAGATTTGGAAAAAATGACCTGAGTGTACTCAGTGGTGAGATGTGAAAAACCTGTACAATATGTTGCTAAATTGCAATTTAGTGACAAATTAGTAACTAAAAATAACTTGTCAAATAAAAATGTCAAAAGCACATTAACTGAAGATTTTTATCAATTCAAGTAAAGAAAGAGTATGACACACGAACGACAACGAAAGCTTTTTTTGAATAATATATATTTTTGACCTTACTGTCCATTTCTACGCTTTTGGTGCTACAATTTGTTTGAATTACTGACAAGTTCTTTAAACACAATGAACACTTCAGCAAATCAAAAAGTTAAAATAGTTAATAAACACTTGATTTTTCATTCCTTAATTTTGAAAATTTGAAATTCAAGCCGGTAATCATATAAATTTAAAAATCTTTTAGGGGATTATTTCTCATACCAACATAATGTCATTCTGACAGTGCGGGAGTTTTGCGAACGGATATTATGTTATTTATAAACAATATTCTTTTGAAATACTTTTACATCTTTCTGTTGACACAATGTCTTCGACAAAATTAACGTCTACTTCTAATTTAAAATTAAAAAAAAATACATGACGGCGTTGTCTATGTATGCTTACTATTAATTTATAACAAAAACATCGGCGCTGTATGGTATTTTCTCAGGCTTCTGTTGCCTTTTTTTAATATTTTGAATTTTGGTTAACCACCAAAACGTTCTGATTTTTTAATAAAGTTGTGTTAAAAATATATGAATTTTATGAACCGGTTCCGTGTTTAAGTTTGTGGGTAGTTTACAGCACCCTTAATCATTACCCATTGTGAAAGTGCATAGGGCCGGATTGGTGAAAGTGAAATTTTTCAGAAAAAAATTTTACGAGCAGTGCGATACATATACATGCTCGTGACATAAAAATGTTTAACTCACTATGTTGCATTTTCAAAAAAAAAGTATGAATTTTTTAAATAAAAAATAAAATGCCTAAAACGAGAGTCCATTTTCAGCGAAAACTATAACTCTTGAAAAATATCAAGGTGATTAAAGTAATTAGTCGTTTTTTACTTTTGCGGTTACCAAAAATGCTGAGAATTTTCTTGGAATCAATGCCCCATATTTCTGAATATATCTGTCTACCACTTACTTATTCTAAAAATTATTAAATTAACCTAAATACTACAGTGACTAAATAGTAAACACTAATCACTACAATGTTTGTCTAACTAAGTATGTAACTTTACACTGACAAATCACAAATAATAGGTTCGTAATGCTGTTCTGTCCATTTATACAAAATTTTGTTCCTCTAATGCCACAATACTTTCAAAATTTTCCTTTACATTTTCGATTGGCTTATTTTTTATTTTTACCTGAAAACCCAAAGAAGATGACATTAGTAACTGATAACCACAATGACTTTAAGGAATGCCTAACAACGGCTTTTGCGAAAATTCAGGTAAATATGTACTAAATTTATTATTGTTAAAATATTTCGTAGGGGTGTATTTATATAGGCAATTATACTAACTAATCGCGAATTTCATTAACTTTGTATTTTTTTATAATGTGAATATGTATTTTGTTCCATTTACGGAAGCGGCCACTGACCCTTTTGGGTATCTTTACCTGATATTGTAAATACAAATGTAAATTCAGTACTTCTGTAACCGTCCTGTATTTAAATATCGAAACCGAACGCTGTCTATTATTTCACACACAACAAAACAAAGGTTCTTCGAGCAATATCAAAGTACAATTCGGTAGGTACTCATCAAAACCGTACAATCATGGTCGTATCAACTGGATTACAAAAAACATTGGTACTACGAGCCGAGTTTCACAAAACATATTTCATTTTAAACAATATTGGGTTTATGTAATAAGCGATGCAATGTAATACGTAAAGTTGTTGTACGGTAATAAATAAAATCCGCACAGGAAAAATAAATGACACTAATTAGTGTGACTTTTAAAATCATTGTTTTTCTGCATTACGTCTTTTTAAATTGTTGGTGTTCAAATGATTCATACAATTTAACAGATTATTTGAAACTGTAATGTGAGAAAATATAAGTAGTAATAACAAACTAAGTTTATATGGCTGAACCATCTATAAACAAAAAAAGAAAATTTAGTAAAAAACGAGTGTCTAACATGATAAAGAAAATTCAACTGCAAAATATTTAACATAAAATTGTGTTTAAATTCTACGAGGAAGAGGCGAATATGAAAGTCTGTACCTGCCATCAGCTATTGCTATTATAATAAAAGGGATAATCCCCTGCCGAGTTCTTCGCCCTGACCAGGCTTCTTACTGACAAATACACGGCGGGGTTAAGAAACTAATGAAAGAATAAATATCTTTTTGAACGAGTACTGAATCATTTCTCAAATATTTTCAAATCCGACCTTGCACTTTACCAGGTACGTCAACAAACCCGATTCCCTTTGGGGTACCGGGAAGGTACTGAAAAACTACCCGCAAAGTTAAGTTCCAGACCAAAATACAAAAAAGACAAAATTCATATATTCACAACTTTACATCGCTGAAAATTTTACACAGATCTCCGACCCTTCTGCTGTCGTCATCCACTCTCTAAAATGACATATTTATGACATTCATTTTCTTACCTACCTATCTATCGGCATTATGCAAGTACCTATGAAATGTACGTCATATTGTGGATAAGATATCCACAATCACAGATCAAAATATAACCTCACAGGAAACAAACACGATTTTACTATAAAAATACATCTAGACTCGATTTACAGAAAGCGAAGTTAAAGTTAATTCGCGATTAACTTTTAACTGAGGTCCGTTGCGAGGCAACGTGGATATTTTAACCAATCACGGACTCATATTCCACATTTTAATTCTCTGTTAAACTAATCGAGGATTAAATATTTAACTCGCTGTTCTATAAACCGGCCCCTAATCAAATAATTGAATTAATAACGTCAAGTATTTAACAGACCCTATTTTGAGATGTGAAAACTTCGTAAAATAGAGACTAAAGTATTTGAAATTTCCACTTTCATACTTCAAGTAATTCAAGAGTATTTAAAATACTGAGTGAAGTACTTGGAGTAAAGTACTTGGCAATATCAAGTACTAAACTCAAGTACATTTTAGAAATACTCCAAGTACCAAGTACCAAGTACCTAAATATAAAAGTACTTCAAGTAAAGTACTTGAAGTACTTAAAGTACTTGAAGTATTACTTCAAGTACTTTTACTTGAAGTACTGAACAGCTCTGCTAACTAAATTACACACGAAACACCAACCACTATGTTAAAATGCAGAAGGGCACCTCTTCTCTCTTGACTCTTCCTGGGAGGGATTCTGTTCTCAGGTGCCGTCACTGCTATCCGTAGACACCGGGTCCAGGTTGTGGGCCACCTCTTTCCGAAATTCCCCGTGGAAAAGCCCTCGATCTTGCCCGTCTTCTTCCTGAGCTCCTCACTCGCCCTCGACCCCGCTATCTCTCCCGTTCTTATCTCCTCTTTTTCTGTTCCGTTTTTCCGATAGCTCCCACCAACACTACGCGTGATAGACGCGTTCTTTCATTTAATATAAAGGAATTTAAAATGAAATAAAAACCCGTTACACACCCCCCTATGCTAACAAAAAAATTTAAATCAAGTGTAATTTAAATTTTTTCCACAAGACGTATCTCAATCAAGAAAAAGGAAAAAAATTGTAAATAAAAAAAAGATTCCAGTCTTATTCCAGAATTTTCCAAGGATAAAACAACAAAAGAAGTATGAGAGCCATTTTCGCGAAACAGGAAAAGTCTCTCTGAATAGGAATCCAAATATTTACAGATTCAGGGAGTGACGAACAAAAACATCCTTCATCAGGAGAACGTGAAACCTCTGCCTGCTAATCGACATAGGTCTAGAGTTAAATGCTAAAATCGAGAATAAAGTGTCAAAATCTGGCAGTAAACGTCAGAATGAAGAAAAAATTGCGTCAGGATCGAGAAGAAATTGTCAAAATCAGGGTTTATTGCGTGCACACGTCGTAATTGGGAAAAAAATCAAATTGTCCAGAGTCGGAAAAAAAGTCGTACTCATCCACTCACCACATTCATACCGCATACACGAGATTACTCATACGTCATATTCTCTCTCTCAGGCATATAGACTCAAAAATCATTCGTCGGTACTACTATCTCCATGATCATCACCCCGAAGCGCAAACCCAATTTTTGGTAAATGGACGTCCCAATACCGATGATTACTATTCTTAATGTAGCAACGAATAGCAGCCCCGGCTACTCTGTTAACTTGTTCTACGCTGTTTGTTTGGGGATGGTATGTTGCGTTATGCCAAATCTTACATTTGTAAAAATCCGCTAGCTTCAGAAAAT